ATGATTTAAGCTTTAAAATTAAAATTATGAAATAATTTGATTTATTTAATTAATTTGCTAATTTGTATAAAAAAATAAAATAATTTAATTAATTCAATATAAAAAATAAAATTCGGTTCTTCAGTTCTTGCTCTAGACCCGAGACCCGATCCAAACCCATCGGTTCTCAATTCGGGTACCCGTTCGGGTATTTAATTTATGAAGAACCGCTCGGTTTGGTTCGGTTCGGATCGGATCGAATTCGGTTCGGGACTTTTAGACACCCCATTACAAAGTGACGCAAGTTAAGACAAGAAGAAAACTTTGGATAAAACCAAACTTAAGACCCGACTTTTGAGGAAAAAAGAAAAATAAAAAGAAAGTAAAGGCATCTTAATGTTACTTTAAGAAGCAAATCTGTGATTCTCCCATGTGAAGTTTGTATATGATTAATGACATAAAGTAACAGAACATAATTAAAAATTTAGACATTAATTAAAATATGATAAGAGATTTTATAAATATATATACATGCGAAAGACTTGTTCTCCATCGTTGGATTATCTTTGACAAGACAAGTGATTTAAACATGAGGGTATCTACCTATTGACTGCCACCAAAATCTAAGCAATCGACTTGCTTGTAAGATACGTTAACCTGTTCCTCGAGTGTGAGTATTCCGTAATTGAATCTATCTCCTGTCTTTAGTTTAATAAAACACATAATTCTATTGGCTTTTCTTTATTCTCTTATCCGTTCTCTCTAATTTATAACGCGTTATTAGCAGGATTTCTTTTCAAAATAGCAATATTTTTAATAGCTTGGAAAGAGTTTTCTTTCAAATCGAGTAATGCTATTTACAGTCGCTCACTACGACAGTCACCCTACGTGGCATACTCATTTGACGCATTAATGTAGTGGTTTTTTTTATTGCTCATGTATCAAATAATCACCTATAATGTGTATGCCACGTAGAATGACTATCGCAATGAGCAACTGCAAATAACATTATTCTTTTAAACCATATACATTATTTTTTACTAATCCTGTTTTCATATCCGTAATCATGTAAAAGGTGGCATCAACGACTAGAATATTCATGATTACCCTACAGATATTCCTAGAATATCCATGTATCAATTTTCATGTTTCAAGATGACCTGTGAGGATAAATTACGCAAAGAATTTTTTTGTGTGCGCACTTGAATGTCACACAAATTACACATTATAATCAATTTTCATGTTGGCATATCCATTTGTATTCATCTCTGTTAATTTTTGTTGCATATCCGTTGCCATTCACGTCCATATTCAATTTTCATGGTTTAATAATGAATTAAATCAATTCATGCATAGGGTTAATGTGTGTAATGAT